CCCATGAGATCTCCTCTCAGTCTCCTCTTCTCCAGGCTGAACAAACCAAGTGACTTCAGCCTCTCCTCATACCCTTCCCCTCTAAACCCTTCACTAATGTTGTGGCCTCCTCTGGACACTCTCCAGTAGCTTTAGATCCTTAGCAGCTTGTATTCTGCTGGCACTGCACATAGAACTGTTATGTGTAAGACACTCCCCCCCTCAAACTCTCCCCCCCAAAAAAACCCCAAACAAACAACAAAAAAACCCACCACAAACCCCAAAACCCCAAACAAAAAACGGTACCAAACCCAACCCCCCAAAAAAACCAACAAAAAACCCCCAATCACCCCACCTTTAAACTGAAGTCCAGTTCCGGACCCCTTGTGTGTATTTATTTTAATGTTGAGTCATTTTTCTTGTAGACAGAGTAGATCCAGACATATATTCTGTGTTACTTGACTGTTCAGTAGACAGATTTCTTGTAAATCTCAGCTATTTAGGTCACATTCTCTGTCAGTGTTGGAGTAAGAATGTCAAGTAAGATGGATTGATATCTGCCTGCTGGTGGGATTTTTTGAGCGGGATCACAGATGACTTTCAACTTTCAGGATCAAATTTAACCATGATTCTAAAATTTTAAATCACAAATAGAAATTCCTTTTTTTCTTCTTCTTCCCCTTGATCAGTTTCAAAGTTTTTAAGTGACTTGACCTCTATATTCCTTGTACCTCTCATGTGGTAGCTAGCTCAAGAGGATTACCCACTGGTGTAAGTTTAGGTGTGTGCGGAGACTTTGCAGGATTGAAGGCAGGCTGATGAACAGCAAGGAGAGATTTTCATTCTAAAAGAATAAACCTGTGGCTTTTTACTCGTGAGCGATTCATGTTCATGCCTGTCTTTCCGTCCTGGAAAGGGTCCTACATCTCTATTCCTGGACCAAGTGCTTTCTGGGGAGGATGGCATGGTAGGCTGGTCCTCCTTCCTTGGGAGGACTCTCAGAGGTGGTCTGGTTTTCCAGAGCTGCTGAATTCTTGTGCAGAATTCAACCCTTGCATGATTTAATTGTGGTTCTGCAGATCTTGTAATCACAGGGATGCCTGGGTCTCTGCTGGTGGGTTACGGGGATGTTGAGAGCTCAGCTGTGCCTGTGAGGGCTGCTGCTGT